AGATAAAAAAAGGTCTTTCAGGGCTTCAGGGGCTACATAGACCCAAGTGTAACACTTGGTGTACATTCCACATGATGAAGGTGGAGAAAAACACAAAATCTTCCTCCACAGAATGGTGAATGTTGAGTGTAAAATATTTTAGACAAGAACAAGGTTATTACAGTTAACTAAAACTAAACTAAAAACTAAAACTAAGTATGAGAAAAACATTTAACATAGTTTTAGTCTTTATCAAGATATACGATTGCAAGTGACATTGATTGGCCAATGTCTATATTTTAGCTGCTGCATTACTTTATGAATCTAGTTAGATTACGTTACAATTGCGTGATTTTTATATGTTTTTATACATATCAGTATAAGAGCATTGTTGGTGGGAGCCTGAGATCCAAGAATTTAACCGCCAACCACAGCTTCACTGTAATTGTTTTGCATATGACAATAAAGAACTTCTACTGTTCCTGCTTACAGCTAAGTGAGGAATGAATGTTTTAGCACAATTTGCTAAATCAAAGCATTTACTGTAACTGTTTCAAAAAGAAAACAGAAGAGCAGCATTCATTGTTTATCTTATCTAAACTGCAGGCTTTCCCGTAAACACTGCTCTTTGTCAGATGTCAGCCTCAGAAACCATTCTACAGCATTTGAACAAACTGAAACGTTACGGCTTTCATAGTGAAGTTTATTATGAGATGCTGTAGAAGCGTAGAGCACCAATAAATCATCAGAAAAAGACAACTTAAGACATAAAGCAATCTCAAATGTGTCGGTCAAATCAGAATTTTCTTATAGAGATTAATAGCTCAAGTCAGTGTGAATCAAGATTAATGACTGAAGACCTTTGATCGATTCTGAAGATAGAAAGGTTTTCTTTTATGAGTCAAGAAAGAAAATTCATGTGAGTTAACATATAGTTATATTTTTAAAATAATGACACTTGAGCTTGTCACAGCAGTATTTCACAGGCATTTATAACTGTAAAAATATAGGTTTTTATCAATCAATCAAATTGATTTTGTTTGTTTTTTTAAAGACACTGCCGTTCAAACGGATTAATCTTATAGCAACATTTGTCAAGGGCATACTATAAAAGACATTGAATGAAATATATCACCTTATATCTCACAGTGCTGCCATAATGAAGTATCTGTGTTGAATTTTGATTTGTATTCTTATTGAAACTGATATTTATACAACAAACTCAAAGGCATCTCATAAATGTGATCATCTAAAAATCTTGAACAAAATCATGCATTAATTTTGATGACATGTACATTTAACAGATGCATAAACATCAGAGAATAACAACGCAATTGCTTTTCTGCGGATGATGAAATCTTGTTTTATCTCTTCTCGTCATCCTACAAGAGAAAATAAATAGTAAGTTAATAAGTATTCATTATCATCGTTAAATCTCAGAAAGACTTCACATGATGAACTTAATGTTGACATACTTACCATATTTTACTGACAACAGCCAGAGGCATTAATATAACAACTCCAACAAGAAGCACAGCAGTAAAAGCATACAGTAGATAATCTGAAAAGACAAAATAGTCAACGTTCAATATATTAAAAACTGTATTGATGTCCGTTCATCCATTCATTACCATTATCCACTTATCCATTCACACTCACACCTACGGCTATGCAGTTTACAGTCACCATTAAGTCCCAACCTTTATGTACTGTACATTTACCATTTGACCATGTGTGACCTTGTTCAGATTCATTGATTTCAGGAGGCTTAGAAGGACCACTGCTGCTTTTCCAAGATGTCACTAAAATACACATAAAAAACACTCTGAAATGTTTCCAAGAAACACATTTAATTATGTAAATGCCTGTGAATCAGAATCCTACTCACTGAAGTGTGATCTATTATGAAGTACATCATGAATCATGTTGCACATCAGTATATTGTCATTGCTCACTCCTTTGCATGTACAAGGATAGTGAAGTGCTGTGCCCAAAGTGTCCAAGAAGGCCATTTTACATTCAGAATCTGCACCAACGATAAGGGCTGGATCCATCAGGGTGAAACATTCATTGTTTTGGAGGTCGCGGCATTGTGCTTCTTCAGAGCTCCAGCATTTGGTTTGGAAAATTCTCAACAGGTCTCTGGTAAATGAGAGAAAACACGTTTTTAGGTGCAGTCGCAAGGCACTTTGCTTTAGGAAGAATACACATCATGTTTAACATCCTGTGATGGACCATTATTTTAATGATAATGTTACTAAATTTAAATTGTGTGACTAGTGACTCTGGGGAAACAGCAAAGCAAAGAGCCTCTCCAACTGCACTGGGGATATAAAGATTAAAGAATGTGTGACAACATGACTTTTTTTTCCTAAATAACAGCCTGTAGACATTTTAACTTAATGAATGCAAATTGAAAGTGTACCATAAACACATGTCCATTGTGCCAAGCCAGTTCTAAACTATGTGGTATTGTGCCCAAAGCAACTAATTCATGAGTTCACCTGTAAATTTAGATTTCAATTACCAACACATCTGCAGTATATGCAAATAAAATGCCTTTGTTATTTGAAATTGTCGCTAGAGAAAATTGTCCTTGGGCAAGACACTAAGCCACAAACTGCTCCAGATGGTCAGATCAGATCTGTGCATGGTAGCTCGCTCCCCTCTGTGTGTAATTGAGTGAATGAGAGGCAAATTGTAAAACTCTTTGGACTGAAGTTCTTCAGTGTTTCTTCACTGTATAACAATTACAAATTAATTAGGGAGTAGAATTCTATTCAATAACATTTTCATTTTTATGTTTGTCCCTCGCGACCATTGTAAACAAGAGTTATCTCTCTGTGTTTTCCAAGGATTTAAATAAAATGATGATGAAGCCAGTGAAGCAGCATGTTTTATTATTTTTCCTGTAAGTTTTAGTCAGTCAATCACTTCTTAATTATCTCGACAACAAGCCTGTGGGAGGGATTGCTATGAAATTTTGCACAGACGATTGTTTCCTCTTCAGGATGAATTGTAATGACGAGGGTTGACATTAGCATTAAGCCAGTGCAGCCTCACAGAGCTGCTAGCATGTCTGTAAACTCTAAGTCTGGTTAAAAAATATGATTTACAACTTAATTTAAATGAATTGCCTCTGGATATTTCAGATCTATCAGATCCAAACTGGAAGAGGAGACCTAAAACATGTCCACACAAAAACAAATTGTTTACAGTATCAAAACTATGGATTAGACTTGGAATACATAAAATATTTTTTTTTTTATAATAATCTTGAGGCAAACAATTAACTTACATGCTCAAATAATTTCTGTGTTTCCAAAAACTTTCTTTATGGCAATAAAGGACCAGTGTTTAGGAATTAGTGACAACTAGCAGTGAAGTTGCAGATTGCAACCAACTGAATACAGCTCAGCCTTCCAAGTGAGTAACAGGAATTATGGTGGCCCTATCTAGAGCCACTGTTTAGTTTGTCTGATCTGGGCTACTGTAGAAACATTGTGATTTACACTTTACCATATGAAAACATACCTATTAATATTAAATTCTAATTTCTGCCAATAGATCCTCCAAAATGTTACACACCGGATCTATAATGCATTTCTTCTGTATCACTACTGTAGTGTCAGATATACTGTAGAGAGAGACAGAATGGTAACATACCTGCAGTTACTGTCATCAACACACAGGTTAATTGTATCCTGGCAGATCTGAGGCTCATCTCCACATGTGCCACCGTGCAGAAGATTTTTCATATCCAGGCAGTCCTCGTCTGAAGCCTCACACTCACACATGACCAGCATCTCTGCGACGTTGTGCGGCATGCTACCATAAAACTGCTGAGTTGCTTCCTGACAGCGATCAAGGTTGCACTTTGCCGTACATTCCTGAAGAACAGGTGCCAGGTACCTGTTGCAAACTGCATCACTGAGACAAATTGTCATTTGGTCCATGCAGGATCCAGCACCATCATATACTGCAAAAAGAAATGTGAGTGAGTTTTGAGATCACTTTTATATTGATTGAATCCAATACACCATAATAATATAATCACCATAGCCTTTTAAACTGCTTGACTGCCAGTCCGTCACTGTGCTCCTCTTCTGCTGAGCTGCTGTAAAAATAAAAGGAAATATGATTCTCCAGCAAAAGCTTACTAAAGCCAGTTTGTTGTTTAGGACACTCATTCTGCAGCACAATTGTGTTCTTTAACAGAGAACACCAAATAGCCTTTGGTAAACAAAAAAAATTATTTCACCTATAAATGCTTATCTTATCATGAGAATACTGCACCTGGCTTTTGGTGGCATTGTGTGGCCAACGCTTGTATGGAGTCACAAAGCTCCTCCTCCCAGGCACACACACACCCTTGCAGAGTGGGAAATTGGTTCAGTATGGTCTGGATGGTCATGTTACATGTGTCTGAGCCTTTTATTTGGCACCCGTCATCTTGAATAACACAAACAGAGGGAGGCAGAAAAACAGGATTTTCCATAAGCGAGCAAGGTCTTGTTTGTGCAAAAGGTGTGCCATATGTGCCTGCTGTTCTGATTGTTTCTCTTGTGAAAGCTTAAAATGCTCAATCATACAAATACAGGATTCTAGTGTCAAAACAGACAGGTGATATAGCCTATTTATTATATTTATTTAGTTATATAAACTTTGCTCCAGGCTATTGTCTCAGTTATCACATTTAAGCCATACTCCAAGAGGTGCAATTCAATTAAATAGCCTCATGTCCTCAGCCTTGAGATGTAATCATTACTTTTATAATGCCACTAGAAAAAATAAGGATAGCACCATGTACCAGTGCCCCGCAGCAAGAAATGCTAAATTGTTGTCACTTTTACCTCCACAGATGCCGACGTAAAATGCTGGTTCACGCTTGCATAAATTTGACATGCAGGTATCCACAGAAGCCAAACAGTCAGAAAGTGGAGACGACACGCTGATGCTGAATATCTGGGGAATAACAATCCCTGAAATACAAGTAGATACAGCGCACAGAGCATTACATTTAGATATTTTTTGTATTTGTCTTAAGCTTTTATGGAAAAGTTGGAAACTTCAATACAGTTATTGATACAAGTTAACATCACTGATTATAGACACACTTTGGTTAACTGTACTAACATTACAGACTACAAGACAGTAGTAGTGCAGTTTTAACTACATTCCTTGACAATACACGACAACAAGTAAGATATCTTTAAGATAAAGGTTTTATTGTCATAAATTTGTTATTTTTTAAGAACAGTTGACTCACCAAGTATGACTGCAGCTTCCAGATGTATCAGTTGCATGATAGCTGTTGTAAAGCTGTAAGAGGACACCTGAAGCTCTCCTGCAGCTGACCTGTCCCTCTCATTGGTGTCAGTACTTAAGCTGGGATACACCACCCACAGTCAACAGGATGTAACACATTTACTGGAAGCTGTGCCATGCACAATGTAATGTAATAACACATTCAATTCGAGAACAAAACAGACCTAAAAGGACAACAAACACAAACTGAGTGTACTTATTGGTGAAGGGGTCTTACTTTTCTAATCTCCAAAGGTATCACTGTATTTGTTTGAATTAACTACCAGAGTAGTAGTAGTTGTTGATGACAATAAATATGGTAGAAATTATGTATTTAAATAATTAAGGTGTGATGAGGACTGCAAACAGAAGCCAGTCTATTACCTCTGATCTGCATACAATCTGTGTTAGTATTTACTGTACCACTAATTTAAAGTGGCTGTAATCAATATTTTTATGTTAACAATAGATTCTATGACAACCTATAAGTTAAAAGAGTCGCTTAATGAACCAACAGACAATTATTACCAAAGTCTGCAGTTCCCCTCAGCTCTACAGAGCGTTTTAGTGTCTTTCATCTCATTGTTTTGGTTTTACGGCTGCAGCTTTACTGTTCTGGTTCACTCTCACTGCTCTCATCAACCTGTTTCCAGTATGATAAATCTCACTAACTTTATGTTTCCATAACCAAACACAAACAAAGTTAGCGACTAGTGGAGCATTAGGCAACCCATATTTACCTCATGAGTCAATAGAAAGAAATGCAGCCAGAATGGAGGGTGACTTTGGTCTTAGATTACCCTGGTTGAGTCCAGATGAATGCTAATGTTGCTCTATGTCTGCTGGATGTGTAGCAAGCTCGTCATATAAAAGTATTAAAGGCTAAAGACACATAAGAGTTGTGTTTACAGCTTATTTGTGCTGCCGCCAAGTGGCCAAAAGAATCAATTTTCTTTGTTTATCCAAAGAAAATGGCCACTTAGGACCCGGCAAGTACATCACTTGGAGACTCAAGGGTGTCTAGGTGGCAGTCCCATGTTCTTTTTTAGTGGTGTATTTCTTCAGAAAATGATAGACAGCAGAAGATAAACAATATAGGCAGATAATTTATTGATAAAAGATGTGCAGGAATACAGACACTGTGAACTGACAACTAATTAATACACTTTAAAGGCTCACAAGGACAGAAACGCCAGGCTGAGGACACGTTATATGTTTCCACATAAATAAATAAATTTAAATTTCAGTTGGTTTGCATGAACAGGCAACACATGTAGGCCCTAGATTTGATGGCATAAATCAAGATTTTTGTGCCCAATGTCTAATCTAATCTAAACTAATCTAATGATAACTTCCCAGTGGTCCTGCTGCCGGGTCTGCAAGGACAGTTTTTAATAAAGAAACCAAATCTTGTTAAACGGCATTACGGAATTCGCTACTTATTTAACTGTTGCCTGTACTGTTCTTAAAACGTATTCCGTGAACACTGAATTACACTTCATTAAAATTCACTTTCCTCAACAAATTCAAACACATTCACTGAGTAATTACACAATAAAAAATAAAAAAAACAAACAGTAACTTTCAGAAATAAATAACGGAGACAAGGAAGGGCCAGTTACAAATGCAATCGCAAAATCATCACAAAACATTGACAAAGGGGTCAAATCAACTGAAATACTCTTTAAATACAAAATTAAACACTGCAGCTACTTTCCATTGTAAACAAACAACATCTGTGAAGGATGGATGAAACAAATACACCACTGTGAGTAGTCATGTTGATTGTATTTTAGATTACATGTGATTTTATACACAACGTGGAACGCGACTAAATTCTCAACTTAAAAGTGTGATTAACAACTTCTTACCTGTCAGAATTTTAAAAGTCTGGAAACAATTTATATGTAAGTAATTTATTTTAAATGCAGAAGAGAACAGCTTAAAAAATACAATTGATTGAAACTTGACAAAATCAACAGCAACTAGACAAAAGCTAATTTGTAAGTAAACACACTCAGTTTATCCATTTTCTATAAACTCTGCCAGTCTAGGAAACAATGGAAAGATGTGGACTGAGGGAGCAAATGCCAGTGCAGTGCATGGCTGTTTGCCACAGGGTCTTCTAAATACTAACACAGGGGGGACAAATTTCAGATATTGTCTCAATATAAAAGGTATTAGGGATAGCATTTTGGATTTTTTCATTGCACTATACTGTACATTCAATTCAATTTGCATGAATATTTAAATTATCAACATTTACAAATCTACTCTTATCCACAAATGAAACATTTTAGGCAGAGCTTAACAAAAAGCAGCAGTAACCTTAAAGTTTAATCACTAACAGAAAGCAAGCTGTTGAGCATCATTTTCCTGTCTTTGTTTTCTGTCATTGTGACATTACAGTGTTTGTTTTCTTATTTATGCAATTCTTTCACATTACTATTTCCTTTTCCTGATTGCGTTATTAGTTTAATTGATTTATTTGATTAGCTTGATTTGACAAGAGATTTCGACATCATTATTTTTTTGTCAGTGTACTTTAACAGAGGCATTATCTATACTGCTGATTACAATGATGATTAATACTTAATTCTTGTCTTTATTTATGTCTGTCTATCTTAGTTGAAGAACTTTTTAATTTCTTAACAATTAGCTTTATGTAGTATGTGATATGCTTGTGGATCTAGGATCTATGACTACAAATTGTGATTATGTAGAAGAACATTTCCCATGTGAACAGGTTCATGTTAATTGGTTGATTGCACTCAATCCATCTACCTCCTTGTCTAAGTGATTTGCCCTGTTGAAAAGGTCTCCTGACAGAAAGCCTGTTTTTGTTATAAAATTTGCATGGAAAGACAGCTGCTTTAATATTCTTTTTCTCATTGTTTTGGGGTTTAATATCCACCTACACAAATACCAATACCATGCACTCCACACAGCCACAATAACGAACAAATCACAGAAGATTTGCTTGAGGAAACAAACAAAATAAACTGTGCATGAGCACATTTGTTTCATATCCACGTTTGAAACCTGAGGCTTTCTGCCAGCCTTAAGTGTGAGATCTTACTTCAAGATTGCACCTATATGAAGGCTTGTTAGCTGCAAATACACTTTACAATTATGTGCTGGTTATAAATATTCATGAGAATATTAGCATCCCTCTTCACAGGGATTTTGTGCTTTTGACTGCTCTCAGGGAACTATTCAGTATGCCTCAAACATCAGAGAAACTGTGGTAGAGTTTCAGTGTCATTATAGTAATAAGGATTTTACAAGAGAAACAACCTTGAGACTGGAGGTTTGTCCATTCAGTCCCTGCACCAGCAGAACATATTTGGAGGGCAGAGTGAACCATCAGTACTGGTATTTTCCTCATTACCAGCAGTAACACACCCTTGAGCAAGGCCCTCTGCTGCTACTGCCCTCGTGGAGGTACTCAGTGGCAGATCAGACTGTGGCTGTAATGGGCAGCTTCCAGATTTTTAACTGTGTGAGAACAGGGCATTTCTGGCAGAGATACCACAATGAACAGTAGAAAAAACACAACATATTATTCAGTAATTTGGAAGCTTAATCCAAGTTTACAGCAGTTCGATTGCAGTAGGTCTCATCCAGACGCCAGTAATTTCTTTATTCTTGGATCCCCATTAGCTGCCATCAAGGTAGCATCTACTCCTCCACTCATACAAAACATACTAGCTATAAATCAAGACATATGTTACGCATAAAAAGTCTCAATGAGAAATTAGTTGTTACTCATTTATTCTCCTGATACACGTTTGTGTGTGCGGTGTGTGTGTGTGTGTGTGTGTGTGTGTTGCGATGGAAATTGTCTGCAAGCACTCATAAAAAAACAACACTGATGGGATTAAATTTAAGGCTTAATGCTAGTTTACTTTCACAGTGTCACAGCATGTTTACTCGTTTATTAGCCTTTCAAAATAAATTAAGCTTCTAACAATCAGTTTACTGTCAAAATATGTTTATTTACAGGCCTCTGTAACTCGTTCATCAAATGAAATGATGGAAAGGTTGGGCATTAAAAATGACATCAAGCAGCCTAACAATTATGTGTTTTGGCTGAACTGTAATTATCAGTTTTGGTAAATTAACTCTGACTGATTATAAAAGTATTTGATAAAAAGTGAAAATCAATAAAAGTAAATCATTAAACAGCAAGATATATGCTGTTGATTATAAAAGTATTTGAGAAACTGTGAAACTTGACTTGATTTTGTGAGATTATAACAGATCGGTTTGTTCTGTAGATGATTGACATGTGCTTTTTTCTGATTTTCATTCTTAAGGCTTTCATGATATATATTTATTCAAACCAAAATATTCCATATTATAAAAACAAATCACAATAGAAGTAGTTTTTACACATTTGATGTAATTCTAGTAGCAGTCTAAAAAGAATAATATAATAATTCATGCAAAAAACAAATTCTCATTTTGCAATATTTAAAATTTTTTCCTGACCTTGTATTGCTCTATTTAGCTAATCAGTTGAATATTTTATTGACTAAAAATAAATTTGGTTAATCAGGCGTATTGATGAGTTAGATGCCTCAACCATGCTACAATCAGGGTGCTACTGTAAATAAACAGTAAACAGGGCTCGATTAATAGCCAGTACTGTTGCCAACACACATTTGAGGACCGACATCATACATTTATATCACTAAATAGATCTCTGAAGCACATTTGAGGACATGTTTCTTGATTGCACATTTTAAAAACGTAGTTTAATATAAAAAATACTTTTTCAGTTTTCATAACATCCACTATTTTTCAGTACAGGACAGTGTCTACGGGGCTCTGAAGCTGTCAGTGAAGGTGAATGACAGAAGCATTTTAAAATTCTACCCTGTGTTGAAAAATTCAACTGTTCTTGAGAACAAAAAAAGCTCTGGATTTTAGCATTTATGATGTTTAAAACTTAATTTAGCTTTGCAGCTATACATAGTGGCCCGTGTGCAGCTACAGTATAAAATATAAGTCTGCCCTGCTGATGTTGTTCAATACAAACTCAGTGTGTGTCAAGTGAAAGAAAAAGGTTTCATAATGAGATCCACCAGGACACACTCGTGCCATGTTGAATATTCAGGAGTTTGTTGGAGGTTTACAATGTTTGACCCGGCATTATTTACACACTGTTAATGAACATAATCATACATTCATGGTCATTTACACTGGAGACTTAAGATGAACATCTGCTAATTAAGGAAACTAACTATAAATCTGAGCTTATTCTCTATAGCACCTGCTATTTTCATTATTATAAAAACACATTAAACCAATTACTGAATAAATAAACAGTGATTTAATTTATCATGAAATGTAATACTGATTCTTTCTACTGAACCGTAAATAAAGTCAAAAGTGTACATTTACAATACAGCACACATGTGCAATTCAAATTATGTCACTTAACTGTATATCATCAAATACATATGGTATGAGTTATCAAATGCTAAATATTCAAATGGTATCTTCTCATATTAAATAGACTACAAGTGGTTTCCATGTCCTGCTGATCATGTAAAAGAAATGACAAGACCCTCAGAAAACGTCTTACGTTCCATAAAGTGTCCTTGTGAAACTAAATATACAATCATTTTGAATGTCTACCTTAACGATGAGTATGTCCTTTGAAGTTTGAAGTGGTCAGAAGAACTCCCCACTGGGATAAGACTACACTACCTGATCAGATATTCGTGAGACATTGTCCATGTTGTTAACTTGAGTTGACAGGGATTTCCGGCTGTCCGTGCTGGTTCTGGTTCTTATCCTCTTTGTCTGATTTTGTCCTTGGCCATAACAGTGGCAAGAAAAGGCTGCTTTGAACTCTTCACGGAACTTCCCTGGAGAAAAAGAGAAGCATGAAGTCCACTCAGAAACCATTAAATTTGAACCTTTTATACACCTTCCCTTCAGTTTTTTTCAGTTTCATTAAAACCTCAAATATCAGTAGTTAATGTTAAGAAGATTTGATTGACTCCAAAACAGCAGAGATGCATGCAGGAATTGTTTATTATAAATACAACTTTGTATGTGCACAACATATTATCAGATCAGGAATTTAAAGCAGTGAGTGGTATTGTTGTTGCAAAACTGTCCACTAGAGGACAGTAGGGAACCCACACAAGGTTACAAACTTACCGCTGAGGAAATTGTAGATGATAGGATTTGCTGCACTGTTGGCATATATGAGCCAATGTGAGAAAGTGAACCATGCATACACTGTCTCTCTGTCATTTGTGTTCTTGAAAGTCCCAAAGACTCTGCAGGGAAAGTATGACATGTTATTAGTTAAAGAATGCTTTTAATGCTATACTATAAATAATAATATTTTAAATCAACATTGCAGAAAAAAAACTATTCAGAACTTTAAATATGCTAGGATGAGTCATTATTAAACTTGGAATGATCTATATATATATTAATGAAAAAAGGATGCAAAATGTGAGCCCTGGTTTATCACAGTATCTATTGGTGATCTCTTTGTGTTTGAATGACTTTTGATCCTTGAAGCAGCAGAGCTTGAGAGATTACCTTTTCATGACATTGAGCACGCTGATCGGCAAGTAGCACAGAGCAAAAACAAAGAGGACCACCATCAGCATGCGAGCTGTCTTGCGCCGGGCTCGGACCTGTTTGATCTCTGCACAAACCGTGCTGGTCCGGACCCTCACAGCCTCTCCCAGGCCTGGAGCTGGAGCTGAGCACTGCATGGATCTCCATTTTCTCTGCAACACTGATGTGTTTCCAGGAATCTGTTGATTAAATATGTGCATACATCAGGTGCTGTAAACTCGCCAAAGGAAAATCAGTTCAGTGGCTGATGTATGACTTTTAAAAACATAAAACGCCAGAATACACACCTGTTGACACCACAGCTTGTGACATATCTGGATATACGCCAAGACCATGAGACACAGTGGTGCAAAATATGTGACAATGAAGAAACAGGTGTGATACACCTTTGGATAGATCTCAGCTGTTGAAAGAATAAAAAACATCATTATTTCACTGAAAACTGTCTAGATAGTGACTGGTGGTCAGTCTTTCTGTTCTTGACCAGGACATTTACAGTGATAACATGGCAGATTATTCAGGTAATTTTTCACAACAATGAATCTTCAACTTCCCACAGGAATAAACACAAGCAGGCTCACTGCTAGCAGACGAACGTGGATTTTGTCTGTCCCTAGCAGATGTTTTCATGTTTTTTAATCCTTAACAATAATCCTGTAAGAAAAAAAACTCAAAAAGGCCTCACTAGCTCATGATCCAGAAGGAGCAGACGTTTTTCCAGGGGCAGCTATTTTTACATTAAATAGCAGGGTAAACACAGGTGTTACCAGTTATACTAATTAAGGTTCTGATCCATTCAGGCCAAACAGAGTCAGGGTCCTGCTAATATGCATGTTGGCTCACTGGTGATTCTCTGCTACACTAAATAGAACAGAGCCTTAATTAGTGTGATTGGTAACACCTGTGTTACTTATTTATGTCAAAATGGCTGCTGTGAAAAATGCTTGTGTATTACAGGTATAGTTAGTTCCAGTATTATAAATATTGAAATGCTATTTGTTACAACATAACCCTCGGCTCATCTTATTATAGGAAAACATACTTGGCAAGCAACACTACAGGCAACAGGTAAGCCTGTTGAGAACTGCATGTCCCTTGCAGTAGAGCATGCAGAGCTAAAGCAAAAACAACCAGACATTATAATAATGTATAAGGCAAAGGACAGTTTAAAAACTATATAATATTTGTTGTTCGGTTCAGGAAAGATGATAAATGATCTGAAAATTTAGAGTCATCAGTGTTTCATTACTGTATCACTCTCTGCGATGAGAGCGGTCATCTGATGTGCATCAGCATATCCTGCCTATATCATGCACGCCTGTGTGGCTGTAGCGAATTAGTGAGCAAGTTAGTGCTGAATTAAGGCAGATAAAGCAGTAATACGTTGTAGATGACCGAGTTTATTGAGTGGTTTTGTTGCCTTTTGAATACCTGTGTGTCAATGAAACGAAAAAATAAGTGCATATTTTATCTGTCTTTGAGTTTGTGTGTGGATTTATATGACCACATGTTTGAGCTCCAGGAAGCTCGCTGAGTTAATGAAACCTCTGTTACAACAAGAGGATTAGTTGTCTAACTAGTAGTCTAACGCATACCTTGCAAACTGTAATAGAGACTGAAATGTTACATACACAGTTTTCAGTTGTCTGACTGACTGTTCAAAGTATTGCATCCCCTATTATATAAGCTTAGGTCATTTTTAAATATTTGAAATTCAGCCAAAATGAGCAAACAAAACCATGATTTAATTCATAGCTCTCTAGAAATATTCGGCAGTGCAGTTTTTTATTACCTGCTGAGAATTGCATCAACCTCCTTTTTTCATATCAGGCGAGTGTATCAATGTATGAAATGCACACTGTCAAACCAAAACGGCCTAAAGTATGTACTAGTGTCTCGAGAGAAATATAAGGGGGAGAGGGAATTATTTCAGCAGAGCTGATTTTGTAACTGCCAGGATTTGCATCCCCTTGTTGTTTCAGCCAAGATTAGTGTTAAATGCATTACATTCACACTGTCAATCGAAAGAAACCCAAAATACGTCCTGTTAAAACCATTTGACTCCTAGGTCTCTAGAGATTAAGTTAGGGCATGGATGCTTTATCCGGCAGTGTTCCCCTATATGTGAGGTGAATGCATCGCTCATTAATTTAACAATTAACAGGATATAACATTTTTCTAAGGGAAAGACCATACAGTCTTCTGTACAGTGTACAGACTTGGAGAGTGACAGTTTAGTATGACAGTGTTAATTTGTGGTAACTTTAGTTTGAATAAATTACATTTGTAATAACAAGTTCATGTCAGAAATATAAATAATCTCATCCAACTCTTTAAAATAAAATGTTTGAGGTGGTCAATGTTCACAGCCCTGTTTTCCCCAAGCAGAGATCAGAACTGATTACTGTAAATAAGCCAAGAATATTGGCTATGTGTATATCTTGGCACCACACTTCGTCTCAAACCACAAAGTTGGTTATGTACATTCAGAAGTTTTATCCTGGACCTTAAAGACCGTTCATTATCTCATTCAGAGACCATATCAAAAAACAAGTTGAAATTCTTCAGACTTTTCTGGTACACAGAAAAGGCCAATTTATTAATCAGGCCTCTACCTATGAGCTCAAAAGGTTGTTACTTATAATAAAATAATTAAAAATGGGAGAACAGAGTAAGTTAATCATGGTTTAGACTAAGAAATGTTAAGATGTCGGTGTAGTGACATTTCAAACAGCATGGTATTAAGGTCTCAACGTTTTTTACTAAATCTTCTGGGGTCTTCTATGACTTAGAAGATAGAATGTTTTGGGTGATTACACTTAAAAGTGTTTAAATTGCTTGTTAGAGTTGGCCCTGTGTGTGTGTGACAAGGAGGATGTACTTGTCAGGAGATAAAGAAATTCAGCTCTGCTGAACCATGCATCCCATTTTGTGTCATGAATGAGCTGCATCTTTGCTGAGTTGTGCATTGCTCTCTGTGTGTGTGTTTCTCTGTGAGGATGATGTTTCTTGCTTGAATGGTTTTGAGTCTGAACATACAGCGGTTGTAATGTGTGCTGATTTACTGTGGAAGCCTGTGTGCCATTCTTATCGCCTCATTTTGAATGATTTGTAGTCTGTTGTTGGTGCTGTGAGGCTGTGGGACACACTAGTGCTGCATTAAAAGATTGATCTAGTATACGTCCGGTAAATCTTGAGGATGATTTCAGGTGAGTGCTTTGAGGTGGTTAAATCTTTGAATGCCTTCTTTTTTCCATGTTATTGATGTTGGTGGTCTATGCCATATTTCTTTGAAATGTGATGTTTAAGAACTTTGCCTCTTTAGCCAGAGTGAGAGGGGGTGAAGTGGAGGATAAAGTGGATAACTGGTTTCAGTACGGAGTTTCTGTTGAATGCAATGAGCTGAGGTTTGGGTGGGTTGAGTTTAGCTCCGTTAGACCCGGTTTATTGTAGTGACATTCCGAGTTTTTTGGCAGCAAGTGGAATTGATTTGGAGTGAGTTCAGTAACAGAGATCATCATTAAATTGAAAGTCCTAGATGGAGGGTAGTAGATGTTGGAAATGTAGCAGTGGACTGGGGACTGCTGTTACAAGTCTGGTAGCAGGCAACATGACCCACCGGAAGAAACTGTGGCATGGTTGGTTGAGTTAAAGGCACTTGCTTAATACAAAAGTCAATAAACAGGAGTATGGCAACCGTCAGGCAATCAAGTTAGTGCCCTTTGAGGATCCAAGGCAGGAAGGCATGTTAATCAGATAGACAGCAGGATGTTGGAAACAGGTAGTACATAATTAAGAAAGAAAGACAGATTTCAGGCAACAAACAAACAAGTAAGAGTAGAAATGGCTGGACCATTAAGTCACAAAGATAAGATTAGTTGTGAGCTACTGGAACTAATAGCTGATGAGAAGCAATTAGTAAGGCAGGTGATCCAAGTCAGGAGAAGGCTGATATATTGGATTCAATTGGTGGACAGGTGAGTGAACGAAACAGGAGGAAGAGGATGCAGGATTCATGTTGAAAGGCAACCACACACTTTATCTCTCGAGACCTAGGAGTGAAATAAAGCTTTGTGCCTCATTCATTCACAATGCTCTCTCTTACTCTCATTCTTCTTCCTAATCAGCTGACTATAGGCATTTATTCTTTCTGTTAAACAAATCAGACTTAACCACAATCTCCTCCAGCCAATCATGTTGCTGCCACACTTTAAATCTGCTCTGTTCTCTGCTGTTGTCAGTTGTCATTTCGGTGTGAAATCGTCGCAACAATCCCCATTCACCCCATTCACTTCCAGCTCATCATATCGAGTGCTCAGGTAGAGCACAACAGAGGTCCACTCCTCATCACATGCCAGATCTTCAGCATTCTCTTCATCCATTCTTCTCCACCACAAGTAACTAGGCGTGGGTTTTCTGTACTAATCCTGGTTTCACCATGGGGGTCTTATTTCTTATCTTTATTGTGGATATGTCAATTATTATATATTTGTTCATTCAAAATCAAGTTTATCCTGTTTGAATTTTGAAAAATTGGTCTGTTTTAGATTGACAGTGACAATTTCCTCCTGGCTAACATAATAGGGGATGCATTTCTCAACAGCTCTAAAATCAATTCTGCTGAATAATGCATCCACCTCTTAAGTTTCTCTTCTGACGCTTTAAATACAGTTATCAGTTCAGCTTTACGGTGTGAATTTCATACACGTAACAGTCACCTGAACTGAGAAAGAATGGGACGCAATTCTCAGCAGGTAATAGAAACACCATTGCCGAATAATGCATCCACAAAGTAACTTTATTTCTGGAGATCTATGAATAAAATTACAATTTTATCATTTCATATTTTGGGCCAGTTTGGCTCGATACTGTGAAATTCATAATTTTTAAAAATGACCTATGCTGAAATGATAAGGGATACATTACTCTGCAGCTACAAAAAGTTCTGCTGAATGATGCATCCACCCCTTAACAGTCAGTGAGAACTCTTGAAATGAAACTGTGATAGGAGTCCAATAGTTTTATCAGCACATACCTTGATAAATGAAGCCGAAGAGTTCACCTTCATTGAGAGATTACTCAAGGTAACCTTGCAATTTTCAAACCAATCCTATCAAAGAAATGTTACTGAGTCTAATGAAACCCTGATGACTCTAAATGTTAATAAACAATAGACCGCAGATCATTTATCATCACTGATGAGTCCGACCAAGAAGATGATATCATTTATAAAAAGTTATTTTCGCTGAAAATCATTATATCTGATAATTTTTGCTTGTGCTGTGTGGGCTCCTGTGAGTGGCCATTCAGTTCTCAGCAGGTAGGTAGAACTTGGCATAACACTGATAAACCAGGAAAGCTAATAACAGGCGCATGCCTTTAGCTAGCTGGGTATTCTAATGTTCTCAGTTTACATTTGAGCAGATAAAAGCTTTTTAATCAGTTTAATCCATTCCACTTTTAAGAGGTGATCAAAATACCACCATTCACACTCTTTAGATACCATATATTGCTTTTATTAAAGCCCAATGCACACCATTTGCGCATGTGGAGAAAACCAAAGCTTGACCGACCTGCTGTGTTTAGTTTCCATTGTTAAGCTATGATTGTCTGCTAGAAGATTGGCTGGTTAGTTATTTCTTAATGCCTGCCACCGGGTCGAATTTGGTCGGATTCCCCTTGAAATCAATTAAACAAGGCGGTACAAACACTACCACTTTAATCCACAGGGGTCCCGGAATTAAATCAAAATTAAAGTTCCTTGTAGGGTAAGTATTCGTTTCATTAACTTTCACCTTCCTGTGTCAATAGTAAGTAAGTAATCAGTGTTTCAAAGGTATCGAATCGATAGCCTGCCTCAATTACTGTAACCTAATGTAGGTAAGTGGATTGAAAAGCTTTTTCTTGTTGCAAGGTTCTCCTTTGAGGACTTTAATTAGGGAGCCCCCCCCCTCACTGTCTTATCTGAACTCCAGCAAAAGTAATTCATCCCTCTTTATTATTCCTTATCAACCCTGTGAACGGTCCTCTGGTCTCATAATTTTTACTATTGAACGACAGCTCAATGGCATCGGACACACGTATACACTGCTTTCAGCACACGGAATGACTAATGTTCTCATAAGGCCTGTATCCATTTGAAACAGCAAATACTATAGTCCCTTTAGTCCTTCAGTTAGTCATTTGGTGTCAGTTTAACCTGTGCATCTAGCAGCAAGTGAGATATTGGCACAATTTTTTCATGTGTTTGAGGGGGATTTGAGTAAACTAACCTCCCCAGTGTTCATCGCACACTGTGAACAGGCTGGTCTTGTTTGTTAGTTCAGGCAGCAGGCTGCTGCACTCCATCACAATAGCCTGAGGGATCATGATGATGCACGACACAACCCATATGACAACAATACTTTTGCGAGCCCTCCTGGCTGTGCTCTTGAACATCAGTGGGTGGCAGATAGCATACCAGCGGTCTTGGGCAATGCAACTCAGTGTTAGCACTGATACAGAAACGGAAATGGTCTGGAAGAAAAAGAACAAAAACACCAGTTAGATGAAGACAAAGGTATTCTAATGATATTTTTACTATACTTTTTGATCTGAAAACAGAACATAGATCCCATAGCTTCTTACTGCATTTATTGTTTGCAATTGTGACACATTCACCATGAATTTAATACTGACATATTTTGGGGAGATGGTGGGCAGCAGTAAACATTAAAGAGGATCATTATTTCAAAATGAGTAGTTGCTGGGGATTTCCCTTGAATCTCATGTCTTCAGCTAACAGCCGTCCTATTTAACTGTCAGTTCCTTTTGTAAGGCAGCTGCAGCAGAGCACAGTCCTTTTGCTACTTAAACCAGAGCTTCTTAGAGATAAACAGACAAATATATTCTAAGTAGACTAAATTAATTTGCTGAACAGATTTTATCTAAGAACAAGTTCCAGCGAACAAAAGATATTTTTTGCACTGTAGTATGTTGAATCTGGCCCTGACTGTTGGCATCAGGGTAGACATTGTGATGAGGAACATAGCACCACAACAATTGATGTTATCAAGGGTATTGGAATAGCAATCACTTGTTTTCAACAAAATACAGTGGCTGCTACCAGCTTTTACAATATAGGCTGAAACCTGATAGACTGAACCTGTGTAAAGGTCAAGCACATACTCAGTTAGTCCAGACAACGATAATGGCCTAATGGTAATCAAACCATGATCCACCAGCACTAAAGTCACACATCAGAGTGAGTCTGAGTGCGGATTTTTAGGGTTTAGTTAGTCAGACAGGGCAGTGGGAGTCAAACACAATCTTCTTCGCCTTCTTCCTTGTCTGCTTGATGGAGGACAGTCTACTCTCACCACTATCTGAATTACACTCCTAACATGCTCTCAAGAAGCTATTGGAAAAGGCAGAGCTGTAGCAGATGAAGCAAGATTTCAATTACGGATCTGTGAAATTGGACCAACATTATATGTGGCATGTTGTGTATGAGAAACTTCTTATGTTCCTATGTGTCTCCTCCCTGCTGCACATTGTCCGTCTTGAGGTATTTCATTGAATTTCAATCCACAGCAGCACCACCAATTTCATGTGGGAGATAAACCTGTGGGTTCTGGTGGGTTCATTTCCTGTGGGAAATAAACACTAAGCTCCATCACAGCTTAAGGGTGCTAGAGGTAAACCTAATCACCCACTGACCAATTTCCTTCATTTAAAAAGTCTAAAAAGAGGGCAGAGAACATTGGCCTATAGGCAGAAAGGGAAACATCCTCATATAACTATCCACTGTCTGCAGGAAATAAATAGTTAATTGACAGGCGCGGTGAGCTCTGTAATATAGCCTGAAAACAGATCAGGGTTAGTCACGCTCAATGTGATGCAAACATAGAGACCGCAGGGAAGCCTGTAGTGTGTACAGAGTGGGCCGGGAGGAGGAATTAAAGGATGAGTCTGGTGATATTATATACTTTTCATATAATGAACAGATCCTATGAAAAGACCACCAATGAACTGATCCTACTTACTTAAGTATGGTCCATGTAAACAAAACGATAAATATAGCTGATTCATCCATGCCACTGCTGTGCAAAAGATTTTTTTTTTTTGAGCCACACACCCTTACTACGGTATGAACATGGACACTGTAGTTTATTTTTAGTCAGTCCCACAACATCATTCAGTGTGTAAATATTGCATTAAATATATATTCCTGCCCCTGAAAATAGTCCAGTTTCCCTATTCTCTAGTAATGTTTGCAGAGCCTTTTTTTTTTTTTAAATATATGGAAGTATGTATGTAACTATGTAAGGAAGTATGCTGAAAGACAGAAGGGACCGCTGCATGTGAATGTGAAAGTGTTGATTATAAGATAAAGCTGTCAGATTCCAATTTCCTTTCCTTTGGAAACAGTAACAAAGCCTGTTCAGTAGCTCTTGAGGAGCCTTCAATCATTTCACAGCCACTAAATGTAGATTGTTTTGTTATCTGTTTAGAATGGTCTGCAGTCTGATTCATCATCATTAATTAAAACACATCATTTCACCCTACTATGTAATATAATATATATTGTATTGATAATATGAGATGTAATAATGAGTTTCTTAAACAATAATAATCCCATGTGATGGAAAACTGGACTGTGTGACTCAATATTCCTTCATCCAAAACACAACAACCACTTTTTCTGTTATAATATATATTGTTATAAACACATAATAAAAGAAAAATACCAACACATTCTGATCAGTCATCCTGACTGTCATAATAGTAAGATGAACAACTGATCCTGCTGCTGAGTTATGCAGAGGACTATCTATTCAGCATTAGATCTTTGTCGGAGAGCTGTAGATAATACAAAACTGACCGGATATTTGCTAAAATGTTGGCACAAGGTGACCACAAGCAGCAGATGGTGTAGGCAAGACAAAACTTCCTTGTTGCACATGGTCAATATAAAGGCAGGGAAGTAGGTGTGCTGTGCTGCTGCATTTTTTAATAAATCATCATTCATTCATCACACAGTTTCCTTGACTGTTTCATAATTTCTCTCAGTAATCACTTGTGTCTTTGGGTTTACAACATACTGTGCTGCAGATGGAGATATCAGTACAGCTTGACTTTCCGTTTTGCTTCTACTCTTGGGGATGATCCTTCCTGAGGCAATAGAAAATCTCACATAAAATGCAGGGTGAACTGAAGTAATTCCCAAATGGGAATTAATTTAGTTGAAAAATATACTTCTGGGTTCATAAAAGCAGCAGGAAGTGTAGCAGCAGCATACAGCAGAGTACAGTAAAGGCATACAGAACAGCAACCAGGGTGAATGTGACCATGAAAGCCCTCGGTAGACCCCTAATACAGTGGCAAACTAACACAAAACCTTTGGTTGAACTGCTTCCATCCAGAACTTATTGTGTACACCACAGTTATTCAGAACCACACAATGTGATACGGTGCAGCAGTGGTGGAAAGTAACCAGGTACATTTACTGAAGTACTAAGGACAATTTTGGGCTACCTGTACTTAGTATTTACATTGTATGTTACTTGATACTTCCACTACTTTTCAGAGGGAAATATTACACTTTCTACTCCTTTACATTTATTTGACATTGATATAATTACTGGTTACTTTAAAAATCTATTTATATAAAAGCACTCTTGTTGGAGCCACTTACTATTCTAATACTAATACTCCTATTTCAGAGAGATGTTTTCCCTCTTATTTTTATTAGATGATTTATTTTAAATAATTGTCCAAAGAGACAAAATTATTACAAACATGCAGATTAGAGAAACGTCTGTGACAGGGAGGATATGATCTAACCTTTGAAAAGGACCTGACACTCGACTAAACTACTGAACTGTGTATAAAGTTGTTAAAAGTAGATCCACTTCAACCAGTAAAAAGCTGTTTACACAGTGATTAATCAGTATTAATAACTGATACATTCATATATTGGTCACAGTGGACAATTTACTACAGAACCAATACTTTTATATTGAATAGTTATATATATAGTTATATTTTGTGGTACTTTTAGGCTTTTGAATGCAGACCTTCTACTTGTGATGAAGTATTTTTACTTTTATTTAAGTGAAATATCTGAGTACTCCACTGTGGTGGAGGTAAAATGCGGCCTACAGTGTGATATCAGATGGATGACTTTCTTTTGGTAGAAGTGTTGGCATAGTGGGCATGTTGCAGTAGAATTTTAAAAGCAAAAACTTGCCCAAGGCAATAAATCACCATGGGATAACATCAAAGGTCTCACACAGTGCACATCTCATAGGATATGAAAAAAAATGTATCCTTATGAATACAGAGAATGAAGAAAGTGAGAATCATAGAAATACTTGGCTTGTGTTCATAAACCTTTTATGTGCTAAGTGGTTTAGATCAAGACAAGATTTATAATATCCTTTATGAAAAGCAGGTGTCAAAGGTGACCTCTTACCTGCAAATAAGGCACAACTTTGCAAAGAGTTTTTCCAAAGAACCATGTCTCTGTGATGTCTACCACAAGACTCGCAGGCAGGCAGATGATGGTGACCAACACATCAGCAAAGGAGAGGTTCACTATGAAATAGTTGGTCACGGTGCGCATGTGACGGTTTTTCCACACTGCAAAACAAACTGAAAATGATGCACAATCAAAGATTACCCATAGACTCAATAAAGGCAGATATTTGTCAGATTAGTGCAGGGTATTTAATGTTAATCACCACTGTCCTGAAAATTATAAATTAAATTATAACCATCATAATTTATTGTTTACATGTTTGTTCCTGTTGGCAAAATATTAATCAATTAGAAATAACATACAGACAATTCAATTTGAATGGATTAGTGGGACATTATGTGATGACACTGTTAAATTCTAAATTCACTGTAAAATTCATAAAGGTGAATTATCAACAGCACTAACAGCCCTTTTGATTATTTGCATTCCCTTTTAGAAATTAATGGGCACACTGATCACTGATTATCATACTGCTTTATCTAGCCTTATATTCAAATTTTACTTGATGAATGACAAAATCCTCTGCCATGACACCCTCTGCATTAATTTGAGATTCTAAGGCCTCAAGATCCAAATCTGAAGTTAAGTGAACCCAGCAGTTGTATGACCTTATGTCAGATCCTTTAAAACCTGACATTATTTCCATATTTGTCATTTAATAGTCACATAAAATAAAAAATAGAGCAAATGGTGAATCTTTAGTAAAAGCAAAACCATTGCCATGGGTGTTTGGAGAGCGAGCCAAACTGTATAGTGTGCAAAATGCAGCTGTATCACAAATCTTATGGCAGTTACATCTAATTGTCTAATTGGCAGATGGTTTGCATCGAAATTATGAAAACATTTTATCAGGCCAATAGAGGATGCGAAAATACATTCATTGTGTTTTAATACAATGTATAATATGGCATACATATAAATCAATACCAATAAACCACTTTATTTAGATTGTTTAGTTGAGAATAATTTTGTTTATTACAACATGCCGAGATCTGGGAACACAGAAACAAAGCTACAACAAAATCAGACGGTGGGAAAAACACAGACAGTCAGACACATTCAGGAGTAAGATGACTCATTCATTTGAAAATAAATAATGTCTGTAATAATCGCAGTAAAACAACGACGATAAGTAACTGTGTCTAAGTTAAGATTTGGTGAGTACAATAACATCTAAGTTGTAATAAACTGGTATTATCCTTAAAAACTAATTGGTCTTAAAGGGTAGAAAAAGGAAATGCAAAGAAATGTTTGTAAAGGCATTTTGCCATCTCTTTGTCCATTTTACACTTGTGTCATAAGCGCAACAACAATACTGTGGGAATTAGGAAATCTTGTGTGCATCAGGGACACAGCTGCAATGGGGACCTGAAAGTCTTGAGTTATTCATACTCTCACATGACGAAACCTATGCTGCAATGTGAATGTCCAAATTGACAGGGACAATTTGGGAGGTGGGTGTAAGAAGAATGCCCACACTGAAAAATATTCATGCTTCTGAAAAGTGTCAGAAAGGCTTTTTCCATCATGAAAGATGTATTTGCAGGAGGCAATACAAGCAGGTAGTATGCCCGACATCACTGTGGAAAGTAAATGTTTGAATCAGGGAGGATTAAGTACTGTATACATTCGCTTTCAACTGCTGTTAATTGCTTCAACTTACAACCCAAGCCAATACGTTTTCTACTGCAGCTGAAGAAAAAGAAATGTTGTTTTTAAAAGTTATTTGTGATGGTTTTATAATAGAACATTTTTCACTGAGGGAATAGCTTCTGAGAGGGCACAGCTGTAGCTGAGGTGGCTGCAGGATTGAGAAAAGGGGGAGAGACAGGGGATGACATGCAGCAAAAGGGCCCCATGTCCAATGCAGCAAGCACTCAGCTGGGCGCCACTTCTACCAGGTGAGCTATTAGGGCACCCTGAAGAAAGCTTTCTATCCTTACTTGAGTTAAGTATCTCTCAACCACTCCTGTGCCTGTATGCTTCAGATAATATCCCACACTCCCCCAGATAGCATTTTAAAGGTCCTATACAGCTGAATACGGGGGCTGTGCTCACCGATATGTGGCCTTTTACATAATAACAAGGCAGGGAAACCCATTCCTATAGAGTACAGGCAACATATGAGGCAGCAGCTATAAACAGCAGCTCACACTGGAGATCCTGTAGTAAACTTCAATTTCATCTGCTCACAGCTTCGCACTAAAGTTTGGAAGGGGGAAAAACATGCTGCTCTGGTCTCCATGGGTTGAAAGGTATAAGTCTTCTGAACCCAGCTGTGATGTTGGGTCCGGTCAGATGAGCTATGTTGTGCTTGAGACCCCAACTGTGATGTAGTATGTAAAATCTGTTTATTAGTCGTTAACTATGCTGTGTCATTTTGTGTACTTGCCGCGCAAGCCATCTATTTAAGTCAGCACGTATTGCCATATTGAAATCAAGTGGAAACTAGGGCCACCCAGCTTAAACTCACACCGTGCCAGTTGGGTTTTGGACCTGATGATGAAGTTGGGTGGTGTCATGTGAGAATTATAATGCCGTCAGAATGAGTTGTAAGAATACACTGCAGGAGCTAGCATGTCTAGTAGGCTAACAACTGCTTTCAAGACATTTTAATTTAATAAACACATTATAGTAAGTAGCTTTGCACTCACTGCAGCCACGAGTGCATCTTGTTTCTAAGTTTGTTTGTTTGATGGTTGTACTACAGCATCTACTGTGAAAATCAGAGACTCTTGAAAGGGGAACTGGGCATTTAATTATCTAAAGTTTCATGGGAGGAGAGTCTGTCCATAATACAATCCTGCTCTGTTAACAGTAGACATGAGCTGATCCAGGTCAAAGTTGACCGCTGTCTTCACTATTCCAAATCCAGATTTACGTCCAGGTTTACAATTCTATCACTGTGTGACAGATGTCAAATGACAGAAAGCACATTGTCTTACACTTCTGAGACATTGTACAGATTTGTTGTACGGCACTTCACTTACTGGATTGTGGTAAAAAATCTTTGATTAGTACTCAAAGGTCTGTGAAAGAACCATCCAATTGAAAGCTGGACTCGCCCTCTTCGGGTGCTCACAATCCACTTTGTCCTTCCTACAGCCATGCAGCAGTCCTTGATGCTGAAGAAAATTATTGCCAAAAGACTCATTTTGAGTGAATGGAAATCACATTTCAATTACACTGTTTGGACGGTTGCATCGCACGTCTGCATCTTCACAACTAGAAACAAGGAGGTGAGTTTGGTGATGTATGGCTCAACTACATTGATTGTTCAAATTTGCAAAGTTGAGATGATTGGACAAAATTGCAAGGTTGCGCATAATTTATGGAGATTGGTTCAGTTGGTTCAAATTGTTGCAATCACAACATCACAACTTCCTGGATGTGCTGTCTAGGACCAATGTTTTTCTTACATGTACAAGACCAGGGGTTACTCACCAAGTTAATTTGTCATGGTCTTTATTTGAGATCTGCTGTATAGCACTCTCAAGCATTATAGACTTGGTAGCCTTTCACTATAACTTTATTCAATGTTTGTATTTGTTTATATATGTATATTATTTTGAATTTATATCGATTGTTTTAGTTGCCAATGCATTAAGAAAGCCTCAAAATAGAATATTTTTCAATAAGGCGAAGCTTTTCAGTCTGGGTCAAGCGGCCTGTATGAAGAAAAAATGTATCTGGTTCTATTTCACATTGAAATGAATGTGGAGCAAAATCTGGTCTGATTGCACCTTTTTTTTTTTTATTAGGTCACCAAATACCACAAACCAATGAGAATGATGAAAGTTTGATTGCCTCAACAATTGGAACAAAAGAGGGTGCAACATGTCAATCAAAAGCAGTCTGTACACGCCCACACAAGACTTGAGAAGAAATCTTATCAGGCAACATGAGCGAAAACACCTGTGTCGATGAACCAGTGGCGAACAAGGTACTTAAACTCCTTTTTGTCCTTTTTAATCTGGTGTGTGTTCAGTGCTCTGCAGATTCACTGGTGTTGATTGACTACTGTCAGATGAAAGTGTATATATTTCTTATGCTTCACCCACAGGGTGCTATCATCACTTTAAAATGCAAATGTCATAATGCAGACCTGCAGTGGATTATATAAGCCAGATGAAAAGTCTAGACTGTGACTGCAACTACGCACAACATCAAAGACGAGATGCAGTCAAGGGAAATTATCTTTGTGCATATCTGATCAGCACTGTGAATATGAGAACAACCCACTTCATTTTTCTAAAGTAATCTATTACATTACCCGTCCAATACTGAATGTATTCTTTTGCAAAACTTGTAGTTGATTCTGAGAAGTTGCTCCAGTGCCCTGAACCAATCGCTGAATCATCATAATTAAAATCAAAACATCCCCAGATCTATCCATCTGTCCAATCATGCATCGAATCCCTTGAAAATAATACAATGTCATTGATCGAAAATGTACTTGAAATGTAAGGGTTTTTTTTGGATCCTCTGTGTGTCATTAAAACAGCAGATCTACTTCACAGTACTTGGTACTTGCGCATGAGAATATTCAGTTTCTTGGTCACGCACGTGGTTGTTCCTTCCACTCTCCACCATCAGGGCCCACTCCGCTCAATATCGCTCCACCATTTAACAAAGATTTCTCCTCCATTATAAATCGCTCCAAAAAAAGCTGCATTGCATTTTAATTTTGACTTAACCCTGTTTAAGATGTATGATAAAGATCAGCTGTGAGCAGAGGAACAAAATAGGTTGCTGACCAGAACGGAGAAATGCACTACTGTATCGACCAATGAATTATGAATGGGAAGCATGGAAATGATCCTGGGGACACATTCAGTGGTAATGCCAGAGGCATACCAGAGCAAAACTGGATCCACAATCCTCCTGCTTGCTTGCTCACTCACACTCTGCACCGCTGTGCTCACATGCTCTGGCACCAGTTATAGGGCTTGTTTGTCATTGTTGGCATCAGGTGGTAACTACCTAGCTCCCCTAACCCTAAGCCAAGACTTGAAGGCTACGGACAGAAGAACCTTTTTAAAAAAGAAAAAAGATGAAGGCAATGAGGCTAGAGGCTAGAGGAAGTGGAGGAAAAGTTACTGTTGCTGTAGCA